GATGTTGGCAATTTGATCTCTGGTTCCTCTGCCTTTTCTAAAACCAGCTTGAACATCTGGAAGTTCACAGTTCACGTATTGCTGAAGCCTGGTTTGGAGAATTTAGAGCATTACTTTACTAGCGTGTGAGATGAGTACAATTGTGTGGTAGTTTGAGCATTCTTTGGGATTGCCTTTCTTTGGGATTGGAATGAAAACTGACCTTTTCCAGCCCTGTGGCCACTGCTGAGTTTTCCAAATTTGCCGGCATATTGAGTGCAGCACTTTCACAGCATCATCTTTCAGGAGTGAAATAGCTCAACTGGAATTCCATCACCTCCGCTAGCTTTGTTCATAGTAATGCCTTCTAAGGCCCACCTGGCTTCACATTCCAAGATGTCTGTCTCTTGGTGAATGATCACATCATCGTGATTATCTGGGTCTTGAATATCTTTTTTGTACAGTTCTTCTGTGTATTCTTGCCACCTCTTCTTAATATCTTCTGCTTCTGCTAGGTCCATACCATTTCTGTCCTTTATTAGTGTTATAAGTATTTAAAAAGTTAAGATGATGTTTACATGAATAGAATATTAGATCATCCTAAGATCAACTAAAACTGAAAGTATAAATACTACCATTTGGAGGTTATATCTGAAATGATTTGTTTCATGAATCCTCTTTCCTACAGGTACTTTGATAATTCCTTCTCACTTAAGACTTAATTAGGACTGATATCATGTCATGGTTGCAAAGGGTCCTGTTATGACTTTAATATGGCTTATTTTCTTGTAATATTTATTTCCATTTTCTTCAAACAACAGACATAACTGATTACATAACTTTATTTTTCTAGGTCCCCTAAAAACCCAGAACAGAAGATCATTAAGAGAGTGATTGCTCTTGAAGGAGATATTGTAAAGTAAGTACTTAAGCTATGGTTTTTGAGTTCAGGATATAAATGTCTAGATTTTTGTTGAGTTTTAAATCACGTTACACAGAATGTATATCTCAGTCTAGAGAGGTGTATTTGATGGCTTCAAATCTTTGAAGATTTTCTAAATGAATTACTACATCTTTAGTGAGTATCATCAATCATTTGATAAGATATAATACGTCCATAAGCTGACTGATGGTACTCTTATCCTTTACTGGGAGACACATTTTAAATAGATATTAATTAAGGTGAAATTAACCACATTTTGCAAAATGACCACTAAATAACTATATTTCATATATTTAAATTAGCATCATTTTTTCAGATTATGATGTCAAGTTTCATTTTAGAAAAATTCAATAATACTTTATTATTTTAGAAGCAAATACAGAAACAAAAGGGGAGATTTTATTATAAGAAGGATGGGGAAAGATGTAAATGAATGTGAAACGGAAACTTCTGAGTCAGTGACAAAAGCAGTAGCTTTAGAACATAACATTGGGACTTCACTGGCAATCCAAAGGTTAAGAGTCCATGCTTCTCTACAGGGGGCACAGGTTTGACCCTGGTCAGGTAGCTAAGATCCCATAGAACACTTGGCCAAAAGAAAAGAAAATAACATTGTAGCAATCAGCTGTTTTAACAATATGTAATAATGTTTTATTTATTCTGCTTGCTGATAAATATAGAATAATGTTTGAGACTCAACAAGTAAATACTGATGTAGTGTGCAATGTCTCATATTGATTGGTTACTTTATTATATGTTACAGCCAAGTCTATACAATGTGGGATTCACTATGCTTTGAAACTGTGTTTAGAAAGTTTTTTGATCCTGTTTTCCCAAAAAGCTTGATCCTAGGCTATTTGTATTAATGACAGTACAGTTTAAGCAATCTCATTAAAATGATCTAGAGTAAAATCTCGACCAGCAGTTCTCAAAGGATGGCCCAAAGGGCACTGGGAGTTTCCAAGACCCTTTGTGAGGATCTTTGAGATCAAAACTATTTTCCCTGTAATACTAAGATGTTATTTGCTTTTTCACTGTCATTTCTCTTGAGTATACAGTGGAGTTTTCCAGAGGTTGCATAATATATGATATCGCAGCTGACTGAAGGCAGAAGTAGATATGGGACTGTGGCTGTCTTCTTTAAGCCAGATACTAAACAGATTGGCAAACATGTTTGAGAAAAAAGCCTCCCTTCTCACTACTTTTTCTCTTGTTTTGAAAAACAACCGTGCTTTTCATTCAACTTGTTCTTTTTGTTAACATACAGGCTTATTATTGTTATTTTATATTGAATAACTAAAGATATCTAAAAATTCTCCACTATGAATTCTAATATGATAAATATTGACAGCTAGTATCCACGTAAACAAAGGTTCTTCAAGACCTCAGTTATTGGCATATGATGTGCTTGGTCTGTATTCATGAGTATTTGTTTGGTCTTTTTTTCCTTCTAAAATCCTTGTTCTTCAGTCACCCAGTCATGTCCTTATTGAAGTATAATTTTTATGCTGTGCAATTCACCCACTTTATAAATATACTGTGCAGTAATTTTTAGCATAAATCTATACAGTTGTGCAACCCTCACCATAATCTAGATTTGAAACTTCCTATTACCCTCAGACATTCCCTTCCCAGATTTGTCCTTAACTCTGGTTCCCACAAATCCCCGCTGCTAGTGCCACACAACCATCGATCTGCTTTCTATCGATTAGCCTTTTCTAGAAATTCTACTTACATTTTAATATATGTCGTCCTTTGTATCTGGTTACTTTCACTCAGCACTGCATTTTTGTTGGTTTCTTCATGTTGTGCATCTATAGTTTATTCCTTCATATTACTGATTACGTTTGATTTCATGAACATACAACTCTATGAGTATATTCAAATCAGTGAGTTTCACTTTTTAAATGGGTAAATTATATGAGTTACATCTCAATAAAGCTATTTTAAAAACAAAAGAATTGATCAACAAAGCAGGGAAACTTTCATCTATGTAATCTAACAGGATTAGGAATGGCAAGGGGCTCATTTTATAGTATAATTCAAAGAGAACACAACTTTAATTCAGATGTAATATTATTGGTCACTAGATAACTAGTCCACAGCGTGAGATTGCAAAGCTTGGTTGGACATTAAAAAATAAACAAGCAAAAAAACAGAAAAACCTGTGCAATCAGAAGTCCTACAACAGATCTTTCTGTAAAAAAGGCAGGATTGTTACTTTCTCAGTAAATATAAATACTCTGTTCACAGACAAGAGGCTGAGCTAGAAAAAGGGCTAATGGTATAGGACTGAAGGATGAGAAAAGGGTTTATGGGAATGTAGTAAATCTACACCTTCTTTCTCCATGGTAGCAGCCCACATGTTGAACCTCTAGCTTGTTCCATTCTGCAGACTGACACTTGAGACATACATCCCTTTCTGCCCTCTTTGTTATTCTTCTATCATGCAGCAATGAATGCTATAAAGCATGAAAGTAACAAGGCTCAAGACTTTTCTACTCTGTAGCCTCTAAAAGGTGATTATTACTTGATTAAAAGAGAATTATCTTTTTATTTGGTGCTTTAAAAGAAAAATTTAACTTTTATTCATCTGAAACTTCCATATCCTAGATACTCTAGCCTTCTTGAACTTTTAATTAGTAACTGAATATATTCCTGTAATGATTTTCTAACAATGTTGAAAAACATTAAGGGATAGATAGAAAATAAAATAGTGTTTATTAATGTGGTTGCTTCTTTTCTCTGTTACCCATTTTTAAGTGTATGAGAACATATAAAAAATTAATATGCTATCTGTCTACCACTCATAGCATATTAAAAATTTTATATGTTCTCATATGCTTAAAATGGGTAATGAAGAAAAGTATTCTTGCCTGGAAAATTCCATGGGCAGAGGGGCTGGTGAGCTATAGCTCATGACATGACAAAGAGTCAGACATGACTGAGCATGCGTGTATCCACGCTATCACTAGAAATTTTTTGTCAATTAGTGTCCTAACTTGTAGTAGGCAAGGTGCTTCTATCTATGCTATAGACCTAGAATTTCCACTCCTACTTTTACCTTGGGTAATACCAGATTACCTAGTAGGCAAGCTAAGCACTAATGTAGGTTTCCAGAAAAAGGAAAAAATCTTTTTTTTAAGTATTATTTCACTAAATGACCAAAGGGAAAAAAATATCACTTATCAGGACTTGGCTATACTTACTGTGCATTTTATGCTATTTTTATTTTGAATTACACATAATTAGAGGCTATAAAGGAAACCATCATCTTTTCAAAGGTTAAGCCCTTGAAAAATTTGATCAAGCCCTCAATTTAATGTTCTGTTAAACTCCTTCAGATTACAGTTAAGTTAAATGTTAGTCACTCAGTCATGTCCAAGTCTTTGCGATCCCATGGACCATGGCATGCCAGACTCCTCTCTCCATGGAATTCTCCAGGCAAGAATACTGGAGTGGGTAACTATTCCCATCTCCAGGGAATCTTTGGAACCCAGGTCTCTTTCACTGCAGGAAGATCCCTTACCATCTGAACCACCAGGGAAGCCCAAAAGTGTTAGGTGCTAAGAGTGAGTTGTGTCTAAAAGTGGATTGTGTCTCACTTTTTGAGACCCCCACAGACTGCAGTCCACCAGGCTTCTCTGTCCATGGAATTTTCCAGACAAGAATACTGGAGTGGATTGCTGTTCCCGTCTCCAGGGATCGAACCTGAGTAGAATACAGCTTACAGAGCGCTCGTCTGAAAGTTACCTGGTGAGCGCAGGGTGACAGAGCCCAGAGCAGCTCTTCTGGTTTCTGTCCGCCTGTGCTCCGTCTGCTGGCATAGCACTTCTGCCGTCTTGTCTATGTTCCCACTGGTATCGCTCCATTATCAACTGCTGACTTCCTTGGGTGTGGGCCATGCTTAAACTACCTGAGAGAAGTCTGAGTTTGCCCCTTTGATCTAGAATCCATCCTCCTTACAGGCCACTGGTCAACTAATTGGTCAGCTGCCTTTGGAGTAGGTGCCCTTGCCTGGTTTAGTCAGCTGTGTCTAGGCAGGTAATTTACCTGGTACTGATGCTGCAGTTATAAGGAACCTCTTGGAAAGAGCTTGTATAGCAGATGCCCTGAAGCCTCCCACATTCTGGCAGTGAGATTAGGAGTCGTTGTCCTTAGCACTGCCCTTCAAAACCTCATTTTTGTTTAGACTATAGCTGCTCTCCTTGGTACTTGCTCTGACCTTACTCTCTAGAAAAGATTTTTTTTTTAATTGCAGAAATAACACAAGTTTGAAAAATGTAAAGTACTGTCATGAACAACCTTGCACACAGGCCTTCATATGCTTGTGTGTTTATTCTCGTGGAATAGATACCTATAAAGTGGAAATAGTCAACACATGCTTTGCTGTTGCTGCTATTGTTACTTTCAGTTCTAATATATACAGCCAAATTCCCCTCTCAAGAGGTTTGTGTATATTTATACTCTCACCAACACTGCAAATTTCACAAAATTTGAAAAAGTTCTAGATGATCAAGTTATATTTAACATAATCAGTTCGCTGACAGTACAGTCCTTACAACTGTTCATTTAATGAACACTAGTGTAGACACTAGAGAGATGTAGTTGAGCAAAAGAGACAGTCTCTTCCTTTATGGAGCTTCCATTCTAGTGGTTGGAAGCTAATAATAAACAGACGAACATATCGCATAATGCAATGTCACAAGTCACAAGTGCTATGGAAAAAAATATAGTAGGAAACGAAGTATAGACTGATGGTGGGAGTCTGATTGCTAGTTTAGGTAGAGTGTTTCCCGTAAAACTCTCTAAGGAGAAGGGATTTGAGCAGATATCTAAATTTAAGGAAAGAGGAGGAAGAGAACCATTCTAGTGTCTGGGAAAGGACAGTTCAGACTAAAGGAATAAATAACAAATGCAAATCTGAGATGGATGCATGTTAGATGAGTTTACAAGATGTCAGCATGATGGATTTT